CAGAAATCATGGAATCCACCCGCAGTGACAGAGCTCATCTGAATGAGTGGAAGGACACGGTTTCAAAGTATAGGAAAGAAGCCAGTGAACGTGAGGACAGGAGGGATCAACGTGAGGACATGAGGGACCAACGTGAGGACAGGAGGGACCAACGTGAGGAGAGGAGAGACGCTCGAGATGAGAGGTGGCAGCAGGAAGATCAGAGGAGGCAGGATGCAACGCTGGGGCTGCTGCGTGAGCAAACAGACATGGTCCAGCGTCTGGTGGAGCTTCAGGAATGGCAGCAGGATAACAGAGTGCCGCTACAGCCCCGTATAACCCCCCTCCCCCATCACCATGTTCCATAGCCTCCTCACCCAGATGTGTAAGAACACGGGGGGGGGGAGGCTCCGTACACCTTCCCATTCCACCCCAGTGGACAGCCCAAGCAAAAGGCTGTCATTTTTTAAACCTTTTTTTAGTGGCCTTTTCCTTCCCGCCGATCCTCCTCCCAAACCCCACCCAGGTTCCCTCCCTCTTTTTATAATCAATTAATAAAGAATAAATGATTTTTAAATGATAGTGACTTTATTTGGTTTGAAAGCAAGCTGGGGGAAGGGGGAGGGTGGGTTCCTTACAGAGAATGAGTCAATAAAGGGGGCGGGTTTTCAAGAAGGAGAAACAAACAGATATTTCACACTGTAGCCTGGCCAGTAATGAAACTGGTTTTCTAAGCTTCTCTGATGCACAGCGCTTCCTGGTGTCTGGCTGCGCGTAATCAGCAGCCAGGCGATTTGCCTCAGCCTCCCACCCCGCCATAAAGGTCTCTCCCTTACTTTCACAGAGATTGTGGAGCACACAGCAAGCAGAAATAACAATGGGGAGATTGGTTTGGCTGAGGTCTGAGCGAGTCAGTAACGATCGCCAGCGACCTTTTAAATGGCCAAATGCACATTCTACCACCATTCTGCACTTGCTCAGCCTGTAGTTGAACAGCTCCTGACTCCTGTCCAGGCTGCCTGTGTATGGCTTCATGAGCCATGGCATTAAAGGGTAGGCTGGGTCCCCAAGAATAACTATTGGCATTTCAACATCCCCAACGGTTATTTTCTGGTCCGGGAAGTAAGTCCCTTGCTGCAGCCCTTTAAACAGAGTAGTGTTCCTGAAGATGCGAGCGTCATGAACCCTTCCCGGCCAGCCCACGTTGATGTTGGTGAAACGTCCCTTGTGATCCACAAGTGCTTGCAGCACCATTGAAAAGTGTTCCGGTGCCAAGATAGGGATATGGGTTCCATCTACGCCCCACCACAGTTAGGGAATCCCATTGCAGCAAAGCCATCCACTATGACCTGCACATTTCCTAGAGCCACTACCTTTCGTAGCAGCAGCTCAGTGATTGCTTTGGCTACTTGCATCACAGCAGCCCCCACAGTAGATTTGCCCACTCCAAATTGATTCCCGACTGACCGGTAGCTGTCTGGCGTTGCAAGCTTCCACAGGGCTATCGCCACTCGCTTCTCAACTGTGAGGGCTGCTCTCATCTTGGTATTCTGGCGTTTCAGGGCAGGGGACAGCAAGTCACAAAGTTCCATGAAAGTGCCCTTACGCATGCGAAAGTTCCGCAGCCACTGGGAATCATCCCACACCTGCAACACTATGCGGTCCCATCAGTCTGTGCTTGTTTCCCTTGCCCAGAATCAGCGTTCCATGGATAGAACCTGTCCCATTAACAACATGATCTCCAAAGCACCGGGGCCCGCGGTTTGAGAGAATTCTGTGTCCATGTACATGTCCATGTCCTCATCATGCTTGTTGCTGCGCTGCCGCCGCCGCCGCCTCCTCACCTCGTTTTTCTGGTCCTGGCTCAGCATAAACTCCACGAGAACGTGCGATGTGTTTACAATGTTCATGACTGCTGTCTTGAGCTGTGCGGGCTCCATGCTTGCCGTGGTATGGAGTCTGCAGTGTTCACCCAGGAAAAAAGGCGCGAAATGGTTGTCTGCCGTCCGTTGCTTTCATGGAGGGAGGGAGGGGTAAGGCTGTACCCAGAACCACCTGCGACTATGTTTTTTGTCCCATCAGGCACTGGGATCTCAACCCAGAATTCCAATGGGTGGGGGAGACTCCCGGAACTATGGGATAGCTATGGGATAGCTACCCACAGTGCAACGCTCCAGAAATCGACACTAGCCCCGGTACATGGAGGCACACCGCCGAATTAATGTGCTTAGTGTGGCCGCATACGTTCGACTTTATACAATCTGTTTCCCAAATTTGAATTATATAAATTCAGATTAATCCCGTAGTGTAGACATACCCTGCACTCCACTGAAATCCCTCTCATCAAAGTCTCTAATGACTTCTTCCTAGCCAGATATCAAAATCATTACTTCAGTCTCATCCTCCTTGATGTCAGCCACTTTCAAAAGCATTGACCATGCTCTTCTTGAAATCTTATTCTCTGTTGCCAACCTTGCTCTATCCTCTTCTGGTTCTCCTCCTACCTCTAATCATACCTTCAGCATGTCCTTAAAGGATCTCCCTTATCCGCTCTTCTGCTTTCTGTGGGGGTACCACAGGGTTGCATCCTTGGTCCCCTTCTCTCCACCCTCTCCACCTTATCTCTGGGTGATCTCATCAACAAGCAAAAATTCATCTACGATCTCTGTGCTGATAATTTACAAACCCACCTCTCTATGCCAGACCTGTCTCCTGTCCAAACTAAAATCTCTGATTGTCTCGCTGACATTTTCTCGAGTGGAAAAGAACTGTAAGAGATGCTGTTTTTTGACCTTGTGTTAGATAAGAATAGAATGCAGACTATAGCAGAAATTGCTGAGAAAAGTAAGATATCAGAAAGGAATATGTATAAACAAAATGCAGTTGTTGATTTACTGTATGTCACAAAAGGTATAAGTGTTTGACTTAATTGTTTATCTAACAGAGACCTGCCATTGTGCACTCTCCCCTTGCAATATTGCTTGAGAATAAACAGCCTCTGACATGTTGCAACCAACACAATCGTGAAGGACTGTGTTATTCTTCCACAGTTCCTATGTTGTAAAGGAAAACACAGGAATATCACTTATAATGTTTATAGAAGTACAGTATTCCAATCACAGAGCAGAAGTAGCATCATTTGATTCACTTGAGTAATTGTACAACAAATGCAAGGAGACAAAGCAACTAATTCATAGTTTGTGAACAGCTCATAGTCTGGAAATTATTCAGCCAATTTATTTGGGAAATAAAGAAAGGACATTGGTGCCTATGTATAGAGCCTGGACTCTTGCAGTGCATAGGGAATAGAGTAGTATCCCTTTAAATAGTTTGCAAGCACTTTATTTGATTCATTGTCTTCTGTGTTTCAGAAGCTGCCATCAGCCTTCCAGAAAAATAGTGCATATATGTACCATTGTATACCTTCAATGACCTGAAACTTTAAAAAAGTCATACAAAAAAATGGAAAATAGGTCAAATTACGAAGGACAAAATTAGAAAGAACAAGGCAGAAAATGAAATTAAACTAGCTAGGGACACAAAGGGTAACAAGAAAATATTTTACAAATATATTAGAAGGAAGAGGAAGACCATGAAGCATAGGCCAATTATGCAATGAGGAGGGAAAGACAATAACAGAAAATGCAGCATGGCCAATGTGTTAAATGGCTTTTTTTGTTTCAGTTTTAACCAAAAAGGTTAGCAATGATCAGAGGACTAACATGGTTAACATGAGTTTAAATGGGGTAGCATCTGAGGCTAAAATAGGGAGAGAACAAGTTATGAATTACTTCCCTAAATTAGATGTCTTCAGGTTGGCAGGGCCTGACAAAATGCAATTATCTTTAAGAACTCATGGAGGAGAGGAGAGATCCCAGAGGGCTGGAAAAGGGCAAATATAATGGAATAAGAACAACCCAGGGAATTATGACCCAGTCATCTTAATTTTGGTGCCTGGAAAAATAATGGAGCGAAAAATAAAACAACCAACAGAAGATAATAAGGTGCTAAGTAACAGCCAACATGGATTTGTCAAGAACAAATCATGTCAAACTGCCCTAATGGCCTTCTTTGATAGATTAACAAGCTTTGTGAATAGGGAGAAGCAGTAGATGTGATATATCTTGATTTTAGGAAGGCTTTTGATACTGTCTCATATGATCGTCTCATAAACAAACTAGAGAAATATTGCCTAGGTGAACCTACTATAAGGTGCGTACACAGCTGGTTGGAAAACCGTACTCAGAAAGTAATCATCAGTGGTTCACAGTCAAGTTGGAAGGGCATATTTTGTAGGATCCCACAGGGATCTGTCCTAGCTCCAGTTCTATGCAACATCATAATAAATTATTTGGATAATGGCATAGAGAGTACATGTATAAAAGTTGGGGATGATATCAAGCTGGGAGGGGTTACAAGTGCTTTGGAGGAGAGGATTAGAAATCCAAATGATCTTGACCAATTACAGAAATGGTCTGAAATAAATAGGATGCAATTCAACAAGGAAAAATGCAGAAAGAACAATCAGTTGCACAAATACGAAATGGGAAATGACCAACTAGGAAGGAGTACTGCAGAAAAGGATCTGAGGATCATAGTGGATCACAAACTAAATATATGTCAACAATGTAACACTGTTGCACAAAAAGCGAACATCATTCTGGGATGTATTAGCAGGAGTGTTATAAGCAAGATACAAGAAGTAATTCTTCCTCGATACTCAGCACTGATAAGGCCTCAACGGGAGTTCTGTATCCAGTTCTGGGTACCACACTTTGGGAAATATGTGAACAAACTGTATGAAGTCCAGAGGAGTGCAACAGAAATTGTTAAAAGCCTAGAAAACATTATCTACAAAGACAAACTGAATAAAACTGGGTTTGTTTAGTCTGGAAAAGAGGAAACTGAAGGGGTATCACACTCCCTTAGACTCCCATAAAAAATGAACACTGCTATTTTGTTGTTTAACTGGTTTTTTTAATTAATTAGTTCTTTTCATCTGATTTGCAGAGTAAATGTACATGGGAAATAACAGCATAGTGATGACTGAATTCATCCTCCTGGGGTTCCCCATGTCTCACCAGATGTCAGTTTTCTCCTTCTTGCTGCTTTTGGTTATCTACGCATTATCGCTGCTGGGGAACTTGCTGATCGTCATTGCAGTCATTGTAGTCGAGATAGATCATTGCCTACACACCTCTATGTTCTTCTTCTTCTTCAATTTGTCCCTCCTGGAGATTGTGTTCCCAGCATCTCTGATCCCAGTCATGCTGGTGAACCTCCTGTCACACACTAAAGCTATTTCTTTCTCTACTTGCATTATCCAGTGTTTCTTCTATTTCTTCCTTGGGGTTGCAGAGTTCATTCTCTTAGCTGTCATGTCCTTTGAATGCTATGTGGCCATCTGCAACCCATTGCGCTACTCCTCCATCATGAACAGCAAGGTGTGTATCCAATTAATGAGTGTGTCTTGGATGGGTGGCTTTATTATCATGAGTGGGCCAGTAATGGCCATCTCCAGGTTGCCATTTTGTGGGTCAAATGTCAATAACCATTTTTTCTGTGATATTGAGCCTCTCCTGAGTCTATCTTGCACCCACTCCCAACTCATTGAGCTTGTAGACTTTGTGATAGCCATAGTTGTGTTACTGGACTCGCTGACACTCACAACAGTGTCCTACACTTTCATCATCTCCACCATCCTGAAGATCCCATCAGCATCAGGAAGATGCAAGGCCTTCTGCACTTCTACTATACTAATACTGTGTGTACCTCAGTTTCCCAGTGTACTGAAACAATACTTCGGTGGTGGGAATTGGCTGTGTGATTTTTGCTGAGGCCCTCAGGGCAGGTGAGGTTGCCCCGTTGTCTGCACGTATGTAACCTGAGAGCCAGGAGGGGTGTGTGACCAGGTGACACCTTTTGCCCGGGAAGTGAGACAAAGAGAAGGAGGTTTAAAAGGGGGGTGATGGAGATCAGGGCGCTGGAAGCAGGCAGTCTGCGTGGGGAGACTGGAAGAGGGGGAGTCCAGGGCGTCTGGCCCAGGAGTCCCAAGATGAACTTGGCAGAATGTCATAGATTCCTGTGATAGCAAGCTCTGTTCTACGCTGTGTTCCTGTTGACTAATAAACCTTCCATTTTACTGGTTGGCTGAGAGTCACATCTGACTGTGGAGTTGGGGTGCAGGGCTCTCTGGCTTCCCCAGGAGCCCCACCCGGGTGGACTTGCTGTGGAAAGCACACGGTGTGGAAGGGGATGCTGAATGCTCCAAGGTCAGACCCAGGAAGGTTGAAGCTGTGTAAGCTTCTTGCCCTGGAGAGAGGAGGCATGCTCCCTCAAAGTCCTGACTGGCTTCATATGGAGTAGTTCCAGAGCATTGACCCCTGACTCCATGAAAACTGGTGTTAGCAGTGGGATAAACTGCACCCTTTGGGTAGATCATCCTACAGTAAGTGACTGGGGAGCAGTAGAATGAAGGGAAATTAGAGAGAGACAGGCGTGCTGAAGGCTCAGAGAAGTGCAGTTCCAGGAGGCAGAGGAGCCTACAGCTTGACCCCAAGAGAGAGTGGACCCCTGAGAAGGGCTGTCACACTGAAGGGGTTCCTCCCAGGGACCATGGGAGCTGAGAGAGCACAGGCCTGTGAGTCTGTGACCACTTGGGAACAGCATGGAGATTGCCTATAACCATCTCCTTAAGAAGGACATTATAGAGCTGTGCAGAGAGAGAGGGCTGTGCATTGGAAGATTCACCAAGGCACAGTTGATTGCTCAGTTGGAATTGAATGATCGCTCTAAGGAGTTGGTTTCTGACCAAGCTGGGGCTGCGAGAGAGGCTGGGAGCAGCCAGGTAGACCCAGGTCACCCCAGCCACCGACACAACAGGGGGTAAAGAAGAGGCTGAAAGCAGACAGGCAGTCCCAGGATCTACCTACCCGACCAGCAGGGGATCTTCACGGCCGAGTTCTCCATCAGTGGAGCTGAGACATTTGGAGTTGGAAATGGAACTGAAACTGAAAGCGCTGGAGGACCATGAGAAGAAACAGGAGGACCGTGAGAGACAGAGGCAACATGAACTGGTGATGGCGGAGCTGAGAAGCAGAGCTGGGGTGAGTGGGGCAGGGCCCAGGGTGATTAAGCCTGCAGGGAACTCCAATATAAAAGTGCTGTCTCAGTTTAAGGAAGGGGATGCTATAGATGCCTTCCTCAGTGCCTTTGAGAAGGCTTGCAATGTCTACCAGGTTGACCCTGCAGACAGGCTTTGGCATCTCACCCCCTTACTGGATACCAAGGCCATAGAGATGTTCAGCCAGATGGATGGGTTGGAAGGAGAGGACTATGAACTGTTCAAACAAACTGTGCTGCACAAGTTTGAGCTGACCTCCGAGGCGTACAGGAAAAGGTTCCAGAGTACACAGAAGACCGAGGGGATGACCTAGCTGGAACTGTCACCCTGATGGGGGAATACACCCACAAGTGGGTGAATGGGGCTGGGGCCCAGACCAAGGAGGACATGATTGAACTGATGGGGCTGGACTGACTATATGAACTCTGCCCCCTGACCTGAGGATGTGGCTGGTGGACAAGAGGCCAAAGGACCTGTGCTGTGCAGGGCTGCTGGCTGACGAGTTTGTAGATAGCAGGACAGGATATGGAATGGAATCCCAGGGGGACAGACCCATATCAGTGCAGAAGGGGGGGCACCCAGGGGATTCCCAGAAGGGTGTCTTGGAGAAATCCCTTCTGAGAGGCACAGCCAATACCAGAGCTGACTGACCAGCCCCAGAGGACCAACGGGACTTGAGGTGTAATTACTGTGGGGAGTGGGGGCCACAGATGGGCCTGGTGACAAAAGCTCGGGGGCAGGATGAGCAAACCGAGCCATCAAAGCCCAGGCAGGAGGCGCTGGCAGTTTAGCAATGGCCCAAGAGGAAGGAGTCTCCCAGGCCAGGATGCTCCAGATTCAAAGTTCATAGTCTACAGGGTGGGCATGGGATGGCCCCTGAGGAGCAAGTGCCTCATTCGCCTGGAGGTGGATGGGAAGCAGGTCACTCGGTACTGGGACATGGGTGCTGAGGTGACACAGGTCCGGCCCGGGGTGACACAGGTCCAGACTGGGTGATGTCCAACACCTACTTGACCCTTATGGGTGTGTGCAGGTCCCCATTTAAAGTACCCATGGTGAGGGTACATCTGAAATGGGGGGCCCAGGAGGGGCCCAAAGGTGTGGGGGTGCACCATCAGTTGCCAACCGAGGTGCTGATGGGGAGTGACATGGTGGATTGGCTGCGCGGCTCCCAGAGTGTCCTAGTCATGACCTGTAGCCAGAGCCAGTGAAGGGTACTCTGCCCTGACACTGGGGGCGGTGCCCTGCCAGGGGCACAGGTCTCTACCCCGGCGGGAAAGGAGCCACTGGGGAGAGGACATGGCGGGGCTGTGGCCTCGGACCCAGCCACTGAGAGGGAGCAGGTCCCCATCCGTTCCTCAGCCACTGAATTTCAGGCTGAGCTGCAGAAGGATCCCTCCTTAGAGAAGCTGAGGGAACTTGCTGGCCACAATCTGTTGAAACCCCTGGGGGAAGGCTGCAGGGAGAGATTCCTATGGAGGAGGGAGTCCTGTACAGGGAATATGCTCCCCAAGGGGAAGTGGAACCATGGGGGATCAGGAGACAGCTAGTGGTCCCCCAGAAGTACTGCCGCAGGCTACTGTACCTGGCCCATGATGTCCCTCTCTCGGGACACCAAGGAAACCAGCGGAACCAGGAAGAGGCTGCTACGGAACTTTTACTGGCCTGGGGTCGTTGCTGCCATCCAGCAGTACTGCAGGTCCTGCAACCCCTTCCAGAGGGTGAGTGTGACACTCCGTGTCTCAGGGGAACACCCTGCACCCCCATGTTCATCCTTATAATACGATTGTGTGGTATCCAATGCAAAGTTTGTCATGTCGGGTGTCTTCAGAAGGCTCATAATGCACTGAGCATTGTTGTTATAGTAATGTTATAGGTTGTAATTTCATGTATATAGTTAAGAGGCTGAAAATGTGTCTTCGTGACATGAAACAAGCTCAGGCAAAACTCTCCAGGAACAGAGGGGCAGTTCACACTTCATCAGGGCATGTATGGGACAAACCCAGCCCAGCCTCACAGGAACAAAGGACACTGGCCTAGGCAGCAACAAAGGATCTGTTGGATGCTCGAGTGAGTCACCCCCATTCCCTTGGTCAGTTTGGGACTACGATGAGGTAATGCTCACCTGACCCTGAAGGTGGGGGGCAAAGACAAGAGGGAAGAAAGAACATGATAAAGGGGAGAGACATTTGTCATGCTCTTCCTCTCTCTTCCACCTCCATCTACATACACCACCACCAAGCGACTGAAGTGCTGATCAAAGGGGAGAGCCTGGCTGAAGGGTAACCAGCCAGCCTGTGTTGAGAAGCATCTAAGTTTGTAAGGGCACTGAAAGCATTAAGATCAGCTTAGAATCTATTTTGCTTTTATTTCATTTGACCAAATCTGACTTGTGCTTTGACTTATAATCACTTAAAATCTATCTTTTGTAGTTAATAAATTTGTTTGTTTATTGTACCTGAAGCAGTGCATTTGGTTTGAAGCGTTACATAGACTCCCTTTGGGATAACAAGCCTGGTACATATCAATTTCTTTGTTAAATTGACAAACTCATATAAACTTGCAGCATCCAGCGGGCATAATTGCACACTGCAAGATGGAGGTTCCTAGGATTGTGTCTGGGACCGGAGATATTGACTAGTGTCATTCAGTTGCACACTCCAAGTTTTAAGCATTACGCTTTATGATCTTTTTTATAGACAATCATGAGCATATATCAAGCACATATTAATCATGATCATTATCAGTCCATAGGCTTCTGCCCATTGGTGTCCACTTTCACCTTTCATTCTATACACATGTCCGAAAATATTTTGATAAACATATAATAAAGACAATTTAATAAGTATGCCATTATGTCAATTTATATGGGTTTTCAGATAGAGACATCATAAGTAAAGAAAGAAAAACAAGAGTTTGTGTCTTAAATTTAAAAATTTCCTAAAAAATATCAATAAATGATTATCAGCCAAGAATAATCTATGTACTTACAAATGCATTTTAATTTCCTTATTGGTCGAAATGTCAAAGACTGCTAAACTAACCTTACTGTTTTTCCCTGCGATCTTTTTCATTTGCTCATTCAATATAAACTCTTTCCAGATCTATCTATCCTCCATCCAGCTGGTAACTCTTAATACACATCAGCATGTCCAAATGATCTACTTGTAAACGATTCCATAGTTCGTTTTTAGAGTGTTCATCAAGCTAAAGCCATGCTCACAGTCTGCACTTGATGCTATGAATGTTCCTCCAATAGCCATCAACTTTGCAAGATCTGGAAACTGTTCCTTCTGGTGAGCAAATGTCTCCATATCCGGGAAACTTAAAACCAATTGGCTTTTGATTCTTTCAGCTCCTGCAAACTTAAAGTCATTGTACTGACTTACTATAACAATCTCTTCAGCAAGAAAGTCTTTCTATTTTGAATATAGGGATTTGACCTGATGAATTCCAAAATTGAAGTCACACTTAACTATTGCTGCACAATCAAAAGCGGACCACTCCTGGACTTCATCCTCTGGAAACCTGTCTGCCAAATGTGCACACAAGATGTTTATGAAAGCTATTATGGAACTGGTATCAATTTCATTATTTTCCTGAGAGCTCATATCTAAGAGAGCCTTAACTTTGTCACTCCATAAGACTGAATCTCCAAGGTACTCTCTTCTGATCTTGTTCAGTTTACCTCAGGCAAGGTGAAATGCTTCAAGA